ATCTGTGTTATAAATTAGAGAATTATAGGCTTAGGAAAGAAAGTTAATAAAGTACATGATAAAATGTCATAGTAATAGATGGAAACCATATACCAGATGTATGTGAGCTTTATGTGAACTGTAAGCTATATTATTTTGTTCCTTTTTTTTACATATATTGTGAAAACCCTAAAATATGTATATAATTACATTTTTGCTTGTATAGAACGTATGGTATAAATATAAGTTAATAATGAAGCCCTTGTTTTAATTTCATGTGGTTCTGTATTTATAATGCTATCACAAGACACTTTTTGAATGTATTAGGAAATTATAGTATCTAATAAAATTCTTAACATATGTGCACAATGTTTGTAATGTGTCAAATGCTCCATATAAACCTAGAATCAAATATTGCAGCATTTCATGTAATAACCAAATAGCCTATGAAAACCTTTTGAGTTTTTTAGCCTATTTTAATACCCCTAATGTTTTTTTTAAACATGTTTCTAATCACTCTCATCCAATTAAAGCTGACAGTCTATGATACTGTTTTTAAAGGACTTTATTTAGCATATGTGAGAGGAAACAAATTAAACCCTTGTCACTTCTTTAAAATGTTTACAATTTACATTTCTATAAGCAACTCTCAGTGGAGAGCAGTATTTGTCAGTTATTGATGATTTATCTATACATAATGATGTGTAACCAACCCATCTGTATAGGAAGTGTTAACAAATCCAGAAGACATAAGGGTGAACCCAGAGGAGGGATGAGCGAAAGTATCTGTCTTAATGCACCTGTTTAACTCTGGTACCTATTAAAACCACTCTCATTGTTTCGGTGTCATGGTAAGGCTCATGGGATTCTTTACTAAACCAGAACCTATTAACAATTGATAAAGGAAATGCAAATTTAGACCAAAATTATAAAACTGTAAAAATAGTTGGAGGGTTTAAACAAATAAAATTGCCCTTTTTTGGCCTAATATATGCAATTTTCATATCAATTTTGTGCAACTCTCACTTTTGTGAATAACCCCGATAGCATTTCAATCCATATGTATCATTCAGAGAAAGCTGGTAATATCTACTGACAGTGTATTACCAACACAAGCTATATAACATATAAACAAAGAGATGAAGTGATCCAAATGGAGTGAATTATAACATGTGGTATCCTTTTTTTTAGAATAGGCTTTAAAACCATGAAATCTATTACACCTCTTTTTTTTTTTCTAAGAAAAAATGTGTAGGATTCCCCCCCCCCCCTATTTTTTAAGAGTGAAGTGTTGACTGACCCGGAAAATAGTGATAAAAATTAATATATTAGTGATCATATAGTTACTTACAGTTTAAAATTTGAGCAGAGAATAACGATTTATCTGGCTTTAAGAACTTGTTTCGGCATCACGGGACACTATGTCTAAAATAAAATAAAAAAATTATAAATTACAGTAAAACTTAGTTTACACAATTACACAATAAGTCATGCCTTTTTCTTGTCTGGACACTGTTATTCTAATGTAGTCTGATGGATGGAGTAGCCAGGTAACCTTTAGGGGAAAATAGATAAACATAGAGGGTTGCATGCCAAGTCTCAGCTTGATAACAATTCTAGATAGTTGTATCTAGATAATTTGTATACAAGTATTGAATTAACAAAAAAAACTTTTTTTAAATGCAAAACTGATGTTGTAGTGGGTTATTATATTATTTATGTATGCAAGTCATCAGCACAGTCTACATACTACATGTATTTGGTTTCTTGATTCCAAGTCAGTGTAGGGCAGTGTACCATCTTCTCACATGATAATGAGGATATTTATCAGGTATTATGTTGGGTAAGATCCTTGCCCTATTTTATTGCACTAATTAATGAAAAAATAAGTTTAATGCAATCATATTTTAATGTTATTTCTACAATTTCCATACTAAAAGTATTCTTACATTGTCTTCCATACCATTGATTGATTAATTGATTGATTGATTGATAGAGTTCTTTCGGTACATTCCTGCATTTTGCTTGATATAGTAAATCTAGCCTTTTCCATTTCAAGCTGTATGTCAATGTTCGGTTCTCTTGGTTGTCATCTTGGCCTTGTCAATTGTTTTCAACTTCCTTCTCTAGTTCTTCTAAGTTATAAAGATATGTAAATGTACATACGGTATTTTATTGACTATTTTTATCATATGGTAACCAGTTCATTAACACTACTGTCTTGTGAAATTCCACAGAGTCTCCTCTAATAAGACTATAAATTAGTGTAAATTCTCTGGACCAATGAACATAGTCAATGATGCCAGCTCATTGAAATGCAATGATAATGTGAGTCCATGCCCAATTGGAAAACTGAGACAAGTGAGATAGCCCTAATTCTATTCATAAAGTACAGTTTTTTGTGTCTCTTGAAAATACTGAGAATGAAGACAATCCTGTAAAATTGTTTAGTAGTACATGATTACATGACAGCCCAGTCATACTGGACTAGAAATAGCTACTAGGAAGTCTCTACTATATTATACATTTACTACACAATTTATTAAAGAAAAAGGGGCGGTTTCCTGTATTACCGGTAAGTTTTACCAACCAGTCATTAAAGGACCACTATAGGCACCCAGACCACTTCAGTTTAATGAAGTGGTCTGGGTGCCAGGTCCATCTACGATTAACCCTTTTTTTTATAAACATAGCTCTTTTCTTGAAGTAGAACATAGCTGCATGTGCCAGATCATACTTTGAATATTGGTCTCTACCTAAAATCCCATAAAAATAAACCATGATCCAGCCATATAAGTATCCCTAAGTCACATAAACCTGACAGTAATGCATTCTGTAGAAATGTATTACAAATCCTTAAACTGATAAAATACAAATATAATATGATGTTGGGGTAACTTTATCACAGAGCTCTACAGCAATAAAACTAACAGTAATGTGAGGGAATGATGTCCTCTAGAACCCAGAACATACTAGAGAAAAGCTAAGTATGCTTTTTTTACATTCCGTACTGTAGTATTATTACTACAAGTGACATGTAGGTTTATATTATGCAAATAACAGTTGGTAATATGTGGGATGTGTCTCAGAGCTAAAATTAATGTATAGCGTATGTGTTTATCCCTGAACTCCAATAATAAGTTCTGAGGACTTGGAATGATTTAGATCATCGGTAGGCAACCTGCATCACTACAAATGTTGTGAACTACACCTCCCATTAAACTCTTGCATCTTTAACCCTGGCAAAGCATTAGGGGTGCCAAAGATTTATTTGATGTCACAGTCTTTATAAATTTCAAGATTCCAGGCACACAAGTCATGGAGTCAAAGAGCCTTTAACAGGAACAAGCCAAAAGGCAACGTTTTGGCTCCATCCTGGAATCTCTGTCAATCTCACCCATTTTCACCGTGTACAGTGTATATAAAGTGATAAATACTTATAAAACCTCTATCAAAACAGAGCCAATTCTAATGGTGAAAGTGACATGCCGCAATAGCGCAAGACAGAACGAAACTGGAAAATTCCTATGACGTTTGTGACACGATAATAGCCACGTCGACTGCAACTACCTTTTTACCATAGTAAGGCATCTTTATTGATGAGGACAGAAATTTTTTTTTAGAAATGCATTTAAAAAGTAATACACTTGCTGAGCACATAATAAACCAGTAGACCTTAACATGGAGAGACTTCAAATCAATGCCTTCAAGGAGCAAACCGGATGTACAAGCTGGTTTTATGGACGTGGCTAAGGCTTATGAAATGCATTTCCTTGTGTGTTAAAGACACATTAAGATACACAAAAAGGCAGGCCCTAAAATAGACCACCACACAAGAAATTTACATAATATGTTATAATACAAAGAGTTACAGAAAAATGTGTCCAAATATATGATAACAGACATTTAGCAATAAGCAATAAGGCACATTTCTATGGTAACCGAAATACAAGCACTTTTTTGTGGAATACGATGGTCTTCTTTCAAATCTAGTTAATTTACATGATCTAATTAAAACATTTCTCAAAATTACTAAAACACATAAAGGTTTCTCCATTTATATGAATGTGTCCTATGACCATAAGTAAACCAAATAGTTTTGTATATATGATAATTCATTTTAAATGATTGTGGACAAAGGCACCCACATTAACCTAATCATATTGTTATAACATAATTAATATAATAAAATCCAGTAGATATCAAACAGCCAGTGTGAGTACAATAATGAATATATTAAGATCCCATAGATATCAAGACACCAGTGTAAGTAGCATAATAATGTTCTGTTTTGACATATTTCTCCCTCTGTATAAATATCTGCACTATTTCTATCTGTGTATTCAAAATGTTGTCCTTTGGCGTGTTCCTATTAAAGGCTGTTCCTATAAAGGAACATAAGGCACATCATGCACATCTATACCATGGCATTATAACATATGAAAAACATTAGATATCACTGCATTTGAAATTACACTTTGAAGGCTTTATTCTTGAATGCTTCATTTGATAGAAAAATGCCACTCACTCAGTTTCACTCACTGTCTTTACGATTACACAATGCTGCATTGTATTTGACTGCTTTGTTTGGATCCAAGTCATATACCCATTGCAGGCAGTGTAACATTCATTTATGCAACATTGTCGCATTAGGTGAAATCCCCAAATTGTCACTCAGAAGTCATGTGAGTAAAAAGCTCTTCACAACTTTCTCACGGTAAATGCATGGACACTGTACACAAAATGCACTGCTAAAGAATTTAAATGTAAATCACGTGTGTGTGGCGAAACCAACCTCGCCACTGTACACTGGAGAAGCCTGGTTGCTCGCCTCCTACCTACTGACTATGGCCCCTTGTGAATTTGTACTTTTGAATGCAATATTTGGGCATGTAGTATTTTATATTGCTGCTACTGGCCCTTTAAGGGCCATCCGTGGACAGATTATGACGGTTAGGAATAATGCCCTTTAAAACTGTGTAGCAGATTGCATCCAGGCTGTATTCAATATTATGTGTTCCGTAAACAGTGTTATGTATATGCAGCATTCCCCTGATTGTTCGGTAGAATCACTCCATTCATTATACTGAGTGAAACTACCGAACAACCAGACCACCCTGGAGTAAGTGTGCCTCCAATTACCGTTTGCAACAATGTTGCAAACGGGTAATTGGCAATCTATGTAATGTGTTCTTTGTCCTCTGGGTGGCCGCCATTCGGGAAACGAACACGTGGCGGCGGCCATCTTAAACTCCCGAACAGCGGTGTTTTGCCGTCGAGTGTCTGGAACTAAAATCGGACACTTGACTAGGCAAACACCACTGAGACCTCCAGACTTCCACGGGCCCGCCGTTCGGTAGAAAGGATCACACGAACAAGGGGATTCATACGAAGCCTCCCCAAGCTCTATAACCCAGGCCATTCGTGTGTTTTGTTCACTTTTCTGTGACCAACCGCAGGGCCAAAATACATGGAACTATTTTCGGATACTTTTGCCATGCGGTCGGTCAAAACTTTAAAGTCCCATAACTCCTGAACCCTTTATCCGAATGGGCTGATTTTGAGATACTGGATTTGTGGATACATCCAAAACTCGGGGAAAACTATGTACATGTTAATTATGTTAACTGGTTATCTGAGGGGAGGGAATCTGTGGGTTGTAACCATGATGCTATTGGTATACTGTAAATCCCTCCCTTGCATGGGAGAATCCTTTATAAGCCTGTTGTGTGAATAAATCAGGAGTTCCTGTTTTAACTCTCAAAGTGAAGTGTCGTCTCATTATTGGGGGAAGGATTTATTGTATGCTGTTCCAGTTTCACTGCTAGGAGAGTAAACCTATTCGTATGGTTCCTATTCAACTGTCTACAGCATTCATATGCTTGGGAGAATTTATTTGTTTCTCCGGTTCGGTGATTGTGGTGTCTGCCAGAGTGCTTGAAATCCTCAGGAAGCGCTAGGAGCATCCTTCAACGGAGGTACCCAGTCGGGGTGCCAGGCGATCCGTTACAGTGTGCTTTACAAGGTTAAACTACTTGCAAATCTAAATTGCAGGTTATAGCCATAATACTGATATATAGCATTTAAAACGCAAGAAAAAAAGTTAAAAACATTTTCATGATGAGTTTTTAATTGGGTTTACAGAATAGAGGAGTGAAAGTACTGTGACTGCTTCTTTAGTTACTTGTTTCCCACTTTATTTAAATTTATCATTTTTTGTAAAAAAAAAAATGTAAGTAGGTGAATTGAATTTTCTAAATCTGTCTAAATTCAGAGCAAATTTGTGCACAATTCAGTGTTTGAGGAATGTACAAATTCCTGCACTTTGCCTATATGTGAGAAGTATTTTACCAGATACCATTTCACCTAAAGTTTGGTTAAGCAGGGTTTTCGTTAACCTATTGTTCCTGTAACAATCTGTCATTGTCTCATTTATTGTTAAATTTCCCCCTTTATAATATTGTAAAATGCAGTGGGATAAGTTGGCGCTATATAAACGCCAATAATAATAAAAACAATCTGCTACTGTTATGTTTAAGTTCCACTCATTATAATCACTGCACACAATTAAAATTGGGCTTCAGAAGAAACAAAACAAAAAGAAAAGAAAAAACGTGTTTTTATACATATATTTGAAGGCTTGGCCTGGAGTTGTGGGAGGGGCTTGGTTCACCTTTAAAAGGGCTGCCAGTCCACTCCCACCTTACCGTTGCTGGTCTGGCGAGTCTGAAACGTTACTTCTGGTTCAGACCGCCATCTTGGATTTTTCCATACCTGTTCCCTCGTGGTCTCCTGGTCCGGACTCCCCTGGCTCTCCTTACCGTCGCCGGTGTCCGCACAGCTTGCTCGTTACTTCTTCTTCACGAAAACCATAAGTCAGGCTCGCCGTAAAGCAACCACTGCAATTCCCCTGCTTTACACGGCAGAGCCCCGTTCAGTTCAAATCTACATTCGGTTCGTTTTTTATTGTATCACTATGGCATTCATCTTAATGCTTCACTCAGCTATTCACGTGTTTCACAGTTCAAACTAATGAACGATATCATTCGGTAAAATCATACTTAAACATCAATCGGTTGGTTTCGCATGTAAATTATGGTGTATCTATTTGGTTGTTACTACACTCTATATAGCTCTTTCGGCAGCTACACTAACTCATGTATTAAACACGAATTCAGCCAGTACTCCATGGGGATTTCGCCCCTACTGGTTACAAACGTTATTGCAGTAAATCTAATTTTTAAATAGGAATGTTGTTAAACAAAGTTGATGGGTCCTGATTTCCTGAATTTGTTTCCCCCACAGAGTCATCCCAGTGGTTCGTACTGGGAATTGTGAATTCTGTCACTGATATCAATTTCTTATAGGTTGGTTGTTGTTTAAATTATGTTTTATAAAGTCCAATGATACACATTACATTAGTTAAGCATGTATTTTACTCTTTTAGGTTGTTTGCCTTCAAACGGTAGCTTTTACAAGCACGAAAACCGTCGTCAATTTCGTAAAATCTACCCTCTGCAGTGTTGGGTAGGTTCCTTGCTTTTAGGGCCCACGATCTGGCCATAACAGTACGTTTAATCACACGTTCATATATCAAATCTCATGTCCAACAGGTAATCATCTCGAGACTCTTACAGTCACTGGTTCCTTCTACCTCGACAGCGCAACCTGACTCACATATCAGGTACTACGCCAGAACCCAATTTTTCCTCTACCATGTTCTAAGGGGTACTGGTCCTAGGTTATATGACCCAACGAGGTAAAAGTTTCTGGTTTTAATCCATAGGCTAGTGGTCCCGTGAGACCAACACCCCTCTCCTCATACTCGGAGGAATACGCCCCTCGGGCCAAATCATAGCTAGCCGTCTAGCATTGTCGCATAGAGAGGGCCTCACCTGTCACTCCCAATCTATCTTATGCTTTAACTACCACCGAGAGGCCAACACCCCGCCACAACTTTCGGTGGCCTCATACGTTCCCCTCGGGCCCACGCATAGGTAGCGCCTCTCAAGCCGCTTGGCAATTAGTAGGGACTCATCTGTCACCATTCATAAGTATAATTGTTTCGCCGCTTGGCATTTAGCTAGCCTTACCAGTACCCACCGAAATCAAACATTACAGAGTGATTGATTAAAGCTTACTTATATTTTTCAGTTATGTCTAATAATCCTGATACCCTCGAGGAACTCTCGCTACCCTGCACTCCTGCTAGGCCTGGTACCCCTGTTCCTGGAACAGACGTTGCTAGTCCTGCTTCTCTCAGATCATGGACCATCCCACGTCTCACGGCAGAACTTAGAAGACGCTGTATCCCTTTCCCAGCTACTGCTAGGAAAGCCGAGTTGGTGTACTTTATTTTTCCCATAACTGGGGTAGGGGGTAATATGTTCTTATTTCCTTGTGGCACAGTAGGGCAGTAAACAGTTCCCTGGTGCCCTTGTCGGCCAGTAACAAGCTCCCTTGTGGCTCAGTGGGGTAAAGTCTGCTCCATGGTGGCCTAGTGGATAAGTAGCTAGCTTTTTTTGTGGCCCAGTGGGGTAAGTAGAAAGTTGCTAGGTGATTCATTTGTACACATTACTATAAAAGCTCCTTCCAGTACAAAACTGCGAGGGAGTATTTAAAGTGATCTGCACCTACCCAATCTGCAGATCACAAGTTCCCATATAGGAACGTGGGACTTGAGTGATGGTCAGACAAATCTCTTGAACTCCCAGTGGGTTCAAGCACAAGCTAGAGAGCAATCTAAGAGCTGGTGTTTCAGGCGCATTAGAGCAGGGGTGTCCAAAAGGTAGATCCCCAGATGTGTTAAAACTACAGATTTCATGATACTTTGTAATTTTAAAGGCATGCAAAGCATCATGGGAGTTGTAGTTCGACAACATCCGGGGATCTACCTATTGGGCACCCCAATACTGATACCAGGGACAAGCTAAATACCATATTCCATAACTTCCGTAACTTGTTTAATCATGCTGTATGAATTGAATTAATAAAAATTATAACAACATTTTCTTCATGTGTCGTGTAAGTGTCATGTGTAGTGTAAGTGTCAAGCAAAATGAGCAGAACATGCAATGTTTTCAAGTGACGAAGTATCACGTATAAAATATTTCTTCATTTTACTGTTGTTTTTTTGTGGTGGGGGCGGGTGGAGGGGGTTGAATAATGTATTCTACTGTGTAATCTTATCCAATTAATAGTTTTGAATATGATTTGCAGTAACTAAATACTACAACGACTGCAAAATATTTCAACACAAGGTCCCAAGATCCAAAGCAAACACTGTAAATGTAAATCTATATTACCAATAGCCTAATGTACTACATGACATTGTCACTGATTGCAGGATAACAAAGAAAATACACAATAATTAATAACGTTTGATTCCAAACAAATGATTAGCTAATTGCATATTTTTATGAACTCAATTATTTTAAGTCTCAGTTTACAAAAGTTTTGAATAACATCAAGTTCATCTACCATGCAAACACAAATTATATTTAATATGCCTGGGAACGCATTAGGCTGCCAGACACAGAAGCAGGACAGTCCTTTATGACTATACCGATTTCTTGTCCCTTGATTACAATTTGATTTCCTTTGGCATTCAAAGACAAACTATTTTAGTGAACAATGTTCTTCCTTTACTGAGAGTGAGATCTTGTTTCTTGGCTGAACGCCCAATCACTAGCAAACATGACCAATTTCTTAAGGCAATAGCTGAAAAATTGATTATGATTTAATCTAGAAGAAAGTTTACAAAATGGACCTGGAAATTTGTCATTGGTGCATGAAGAGAATTGTTTAAAGAGATTAGTAATCAATAACCTATTGTTGTTTTATTGCATTTGTAACTCATCCCAAACCCTAAAGTGTACAACCAAAGGGATATCGTTTTCAGATATTTTCTGCAATCATGGTGGAAATATCCATTTATTTTTTTTCCTCTTTACCTTTAGAAATAGTTTTTAGGTAAAATGCAGGCACAAGTAGCTCCTAGGATTATGCAGCATCAGTGAGCAAAGATAAACAAACAAACAAAGGCATAAAGTTCACAGTTCACATTATAGATAGGCCAAACTCAATGTTACAGAGCTCCCTGTACCCCGGCTGGGTATCTCCGCCATGGACCGCTTCCTAGCTGGGACAGGGGACAAACCGCAGCACTTCTGCCCACAGTCACCGTGGCTTGGCTGGGGTCCTGGAACTGCTCCCTCCTGGAGTCAAATTGGGAATTCGCTCTAGACACCCCCAGGCACTGGACAACACTCAGTCCTGGGAGCTCTAG